AAGTTAACTATAACCGAATAAAAGGAGCCGGCCAAGAGGCCACCTTAACACCAAAAAAAAAAATATATATATATAAAATATGTGTAGGATATGTGAAATTGGTTTGCAGATATATGTAAGATATTTTATATATTATTGTACAAGATAAGTATAGGATAGATATAGGATATATCAAATTTAAATCTATATATACATTTATAATATAACTATTCTAATTGCAAGTTTCATCCTTTCATATACAGTTAGCTTTTATAAGTAAACCTTTATAAATAAATTTCATATACACTTAAATCGAATATAAAACAAGCATACGTAAAACTTATATAGCAATTAATTCATATATATATATTACAAACAATCAGTTAATGCTAATATATATATTAAAAAGAGAACTATATTAAACTTATACTAAATATTCTATTATACCAATATGTATAGTATATACATGCATATATATATACCTTTGAAGGTTAGTATACATGTATATGTATGTATATATACAATTTTATTGCTGATCATTGATCTTTTTAGAATATATTGTAATATTGTGACCTGCTGCCTTGCAGTAACTACAATGATTGAGGCCATGCTTTTTCTTTCCATCATTAAGTGAATTTTTTCCAGTTGCTAATCATATTTATTGTTTTGATAGCTAAATGAATTTGGTCTACCTTTAGTTGCAACTGTAATTAGATTCTTGAAGATGATAGTTAAGGGTATATTCTTCTTATTTAAATCACTATTCTCTAATTCATTAGTATACCAAACTTGAACTAATTCCTTTTCACACAGATTATCTAAATAGGTTTTGATCATCTAAACAAATTTCTGGTTCTGATATAAAAGATACTTGTTTATTACAGTATGAATTAATCCCTATACTTCTTTGTAAAATAGTTGTTTCTTTATAAAGTCTTCTTCCAAAGTATTTTGCTCATTACTATTATTAAATGGCTGAAGCTATTTAAATCACCAAACAATACAATTAGTCTTTTTGTTCATGTTAGAATCTATATTAACTTCCATAAATCATTGTCCAAAATAATTATATTTCAATATTATATTGTTATGATATTCTATAGAGATCTACCAAATATTAATCAGTTGTATATTAAATTTTACTGCTTTTGTAATATTTAGAAGATGAAAAAAATATTTGCAAACAAGTTTTCGCTTTTGTTATAATAAACAAGTGCAACTATAAGATCTATTGGTAAAGAAAAAACTATATAGTTTATATTATTCTTTATAATTCTAGAAACATTCTAGACTTTTTTAATTTTTGTATAATCTAAATATTGCAAATTAAATTGCATACATAAAAATATATTGTCTAATTCTTTCTCAAAATTTTTATTTTTAGATGAATTAGACATATACGCATTCTTAATTTCTTCAATATTAGAACGATATAATAGATACTATCTTTTATTTGATTAATTAAAAATTATGCAATATTTAGCTGAAGGTATCAATTAATAAGTATTTTAATTTGTAAAAAAAACTATTATTGTGTTGATTGTTGAAAGAATATCTCTCATCTGATCTTTATATTTTATCTGCTTTTGTTTATCTTCCAAATTGTTTATAAGAAAATTCTCAAGATCATAAAAAGATATGTTGCTACTCTCAATAACATGTTTAATATTAGCATTTTAACTCTCAACAAATGATGTAGACTTAATGCCAAGTATGAACAATATAGTTGTAAACCTATATGTCTACAACCTATATTACTTATATAAATGATTTTGAAAATACTAACTCACAGCCAGGTAAGTGGTAATTAGTTCATTCTAATAATGATAAAAAATATCTGGAGTATTACTATTGCAATACCTCCAGAATGCAGAATAAAAATCATTAAATGATATGTCTAATTTTTCATAAAGTACCTTTTTTAAATTCTCCTTTAAGTACCAGATACAAAGTATATGATGGGTATTAGAATATTCACTTATGATCGCATATTCTATAGCCAGATTGCTATCAGTAACAATTATATTAGGAGTTCGTCCTTGGGTAGCTTTCTTTGTTATATGCAAGACCTAGTGATATGACTCTGCAGTTTCGTTATTTACAAGTGCCTAAGCAACTACATATGACTTTATATTATTATCTAGAACTACAAAGAGAGATAAGGGCATGCAGTAACAATTTGTTTCTGCAGTATTATTATATCTGACTAATTTATCAAATTTATGTCACAACATTATTTGTTCTAGACTTATTCAAAAGATACTAGTTAAAGTGCTTGTTTCTATTTCTTAGGTTATCTTCACAAACTATTATGAATCATTACATTGTTTAGCCAATAATTTTTCATAGAATCTTGCTGTATCACTCTATATTTTTGAATTTCAATGTAAAGATCTTTAGAATATATTGGATAGAAAGAATATTTTTTCTTTAAAATTCATCTAATTGTCATTGCACTAAAATAATATTAGTTTATATAAAACTTTATATCTTCCTTTATCTCTTGAGTGAATGCCTTTAATATTATAATTGTGTTTATCTACAAATATAGTTATATAAACAAGAGAATTTAGATTTTGCTTTATAGATCTTGATAGGTTAATATGCTATTGATAGCCTTGTCTTATTGTTTTCTTGGGCTTTTCTGGATTTGCTAGTTGGTAACTGCCAAAATGGTAACAATAAATTGTTCTTTTTCGTATTATCTTCTCATCTTCACCTGTTTTATTAAAGTACTTCATCCTATTATTATTTTAAAGCCCTTATACTCAGCATAGTCTTGTATATATTTTTTAGTACAATCAAAATCATCAAATAATTGACTTTTCTCAATTGTAATAGCTTCTATACTTTTGTTCAATGATTTAATATCCATACTATCATGATATACTGCTTCAAAAAAACTTTCCAAATCGATTTCATTATTGTTAACTGTGATATCATCAAATAAATTTATTTTATTATATGTATTTGAATCATTTATGATTATAGGTATAATATGAAAAAGTAAGAGAGAGAAATACCAAATTTATATGATTACTCATACCAAACATTCGACTAACGAAAATTGAAAACTTGTTGGAGAAAGTAAAAGAGACAACTACAAGTAACAGTTTTTACAGAAGTTAAGATTTCTGCTATTATTCTCTTCTAGACTTTTTTATATATTTAGCGAGCAAGTTAAAAGCATTCTTGTACAAGATAACTAGCAGAAGGTGTGCTTTTGTATAAAAAATTTTAATAGAAACATAGCTTCTGCTGATGAAGTTAAATATAGCTGGTCTAAAGAAGAACAACAAGCAAGTTTTCAATACACTCCCTATTGAAGTTTAAAGCTACTCGCAAACCAAAACCTCTTCCAAGACTCCACTCTTTGTTCTTTACGAAATTTTGACAAAAAGTAGAAAATACAGCATACTCCCATCAAAAGATCGACAACAACAATCACTGCCAAAAAAGAAAAGTCACATACAGGAGTACGTGTCTACTTTGAGATAAAAAATAT